AAATGTTAATTATTCGGTGTTCATGTTAAGTGTTTGACACCTAGGTAGGAATCACTTGTCAATTGATCAGTACCGTCAGGTAGGAATTACTATACAGTAATCCGTACCGGTTAAGTACTTCATACCTCCTACACCGGAAAAACTAAAAAACTGTAAAAAATATCCGGAATTTCGGAATATCCGGAGAAAGATAGTTTACTTGCATTTTAGTGCTGTTAGCATAAATATGGCTTGTTTTTGCGACTAGCTACGATAAACTTGATCCAGTATTTGCTTTTCAATTTAACAGCGGTTGCGACGTTTTAGTTACCCACGTATAACGTATAACATAGTATAACGGATGGTTGTTGAAGGGACGTATAGTGATGTTGCTTTGTTATATTTTTCAATTAATAGTTGATATTTGTTGAAAATTGTTAAATTTTCAAGAGCCAAATACTAGTTAAACGTTACTATATGCGTAAATATTATGTCGTTTTAGGCATTGCTCCATCTCAAATGTTTCTTTGAGGGGTTAAAGACAGTTAATTTCTTTTTCACTAGTTTTTTGGTCAAGAATCTCTTCCTAAATAAAAGTATTCTTATTCAGTTTCAAAAAATTCTGAACTTGCATCGAAATTAGTTGAATATTCAGTTAAAACGTCATTCCAATCATTTGTTTATTTTACTATACGAACAACTGCACAATCTGTTCGATCGGACAGACTGTGCAGTTGTCTATTAATTTGTCTATATAGACAAATGCGTGTTTTGCATTTATACTTAGTGAACGCACAAGAAATTAATTGTAGAATATCTTTTTTTTCTCTTTATTACAATCTTTATACAAATATAAATAAAATAAAAAGCTCTTACATTAATTTAAATTAATTACAAATAAAGATATTGTTAGAAAACAAAGAAAGATAGCAGAATAAAGAAATGGAAAACTCGTTGAATACCATGATGTCTTGTCACCGAGAAATCGATTAACCTGACTGAAATGATTTTGCTGGTTTGATATAGAGCTTTAATGTTTTTTTGATGCTTTTTTTGTGTGTGTGTGTATCTTTTTTGTCTTATTTTGCTTTATATCAACCAATTTTATCAATGATCCTTCGTTAAACTAGTAGAACGGATAAATTTTCTTGGTTTAGAACGTTCACGAAAATTACGTTGTTTATAGCAATCAATCAAATAACTTTCCAAACAGAGTTTTTTTTACTTTTTCATTGTTAGCTTGAGTATTTATACCTTGGCTATTTAAAATATCATAATCCAATTTTTGACAATAAAACTTTGATATTTTATATAATATTCAATTTTAATAATTCTTTTATAACATTTAGCTCATTTTAGGAAAACCATTATGCAATAAATAGCTAATATTAGATTATTCATACTCTAGAGTATACTTAGTATCTCATAAATAATTATTTTTGTCTGTACTTTTTGTAACGACTTTAGTAGAATGCACGACTTTTAGAAAGTAAGCTGCTGATGAATATTCATAGACAACCAGCCCATATACACAACATACTAAAGGCACATATACACTCATATACATACAAGCATACATACATACACAGATGCACACATACATATATACATATATATATATACATATATATATATATATATATATATACATATATATATATATATATATATATATATATATATATATATATATATATATATATATATATATATATATATATATATATATATATATATATATATATATATATATATATATATATATATATATATATACAGTATTGGACAAAACATTTGCAACCAACATCGAACAATGCTAAAAAGTGTTCCTAATTTTACATGTCTTAAAAAAGAAACGAACTATACTACCACAGCAAACAGTTCAGGAGTCTGGAGTCATAGCATGCCATGATATGAGCAATCAGCTGACAGGTGACAGCACACAGGCAGAATTTCGTTAAGTGCCATTTTGCAGCGGACAAAACAAGTGCAACTTACTTTTGGTTTGTTTCATTTTATTAAGTCTGGTCCGTGTCAACGTCACGGAAGTTTTTTTATAATTAAAGGAAGTATCTAGAAGTTTCCGGAAGCATGCAGAAGCTTCCAGAAGTTTCTAGAAGAAGAAGCTGGAAGCATCCAGAAGTATCCAGAAACATTCAGACGCATCCAGAAGCATCAAAAAGAAGCATTTAGAATCTTTTAGCACAGGTTCACACAACTTCATTTTACTATATAAGAGACATATAAACCGAAATGTAATTCAGTCAGTATATGGAAGTCAATCAGTCAGTATTATCAAGACAGTTTATCGAAATGAGTTTTATCAAAGTGTTTTATCGGAGAACATCAATACAAGAAGTGCAATACAACAAATGTTTCATTACATTAATACAGTCCACATCCAACCAAGACGTTGTGTTCCACAGACCATTATTGTATCATCACAAGGTAAATATAACACGGTAAGCCTTGAGAAGCGTGATTATTTATTTTTATGACTTCAAGTGCAAAAATGGCTCCCGACAGTCTTGGATTGGAACTAAGAAAGAAAATCATTGGTGATTACGTAAGTGGAATGTCACAAAAAAGTATTTGTGATAAATATCGCGTGAAAAAACAAACCGTATCAAGACTATGTTCCAAATATCGTTCTACGGGGAAGTTGGCAGCAGATAACAAAGGTGGAAGACCGCGTTTCACCACTTCTAAAGAGGATTCTATGATCGTCAGATCTGTCTAGATGGATCTTTATGATATCATCAGTCGGAGTGATTTGAATCTGGGAACTACAAAAACCCCCAAAATTGTGCAAGTTTGAAGTTTGCTCCATGTCTGCAAGTTATCTATTTCAATCATAAAAAAAAGTTGCCGCAATCCATGAAATAGGGAAAATCAATGTTTTTGGTCTTCTTTTTGACTTTTTTATATAAGTTTTCTAGCGTTGAGAAAAAAATACAGTTAGAGTGCTTAATTTTAGTTTTATATTAGCCATTGTGAGAGTTTATATTAAAAAAAAAAAATTGAATTCAATATTTTTAAGGGTGGCACACATGGGGTCAAAAAACGTCAAAAAAAAAGTAAAAAAAAAAAAGTACTTTGGGGCCGTGTGCCACCCTTAAACTTATTTTAAAATAAAAAAAAAAAGTTTATATATAAAAAAAGGGTTTGCGCACCTTATAAGCTTCCACTCTAGTCCAAAAAATTTTTTACCTAATTCTGAACCATCCTAATATACATACACAACACACATCCATGCATATGTATACACATGCATGTTTATGCATATATGTATACATATATCTCTGAAGAAGGTTAAATAAACATCTATTCAACCTCAAATTTTTGGCTAACTTCTCTCCATCCATATCCATGAGATTTAAGAATCCCGAGATTCGATTCCAATAATTGTATAAGAAATGCTGTTACATACGACACTTGCAACAAAACATAAGAACATCTCAAGTAGGTGAAAACTTTTAAAATTTTAGAGCTTTTTTTTTTGGCAATAAACTTAAGATATCTTCCTTCGTTGAATTACTGCGTTTCAACGCATATAAATAAATTTCTCTATTGGTTCAAAATGGGTTATAACAAAGGTAAAAGAATTTTTAACTTAGGGAAAAATTGACTCGCAATCTTTAAATTGAATCTCATTAGTTTTAAAAGCATTGTCTACCGATCCCATGTAAAACACTTGGGTAGTCTTTTGCACAAAATGCATGCAAAGCCAGAAGATCTTTGCACGCAGAGCAAGAAGATCTTTGCACCAATCATGTTTATATGTTATATAAGACAATATTGTTTTTATTGATTATCCGTCTTGCAGTAGAAAGTAGAAAAAAACGCCAATATCCACAAATAGATGCGTGTCAAACTGGTTTCGGAAAAAAGGTCAACCGTCTGAAAACAAACGACTTTGAAGCTAGTATATGTAATGTGTTTAGAGTACAATAAAAATTTTTTATCAGCTCTTTGAGTTGTTTGTAGTGACATTTTTCTCGCTGGAAATTTTTATATAAGGTTTTTTTTATAAGAAAAATATATATATATATATAACTAAGGAACTATTCGGTACATCTGGTGACAATTGAAGGGAGTAGTTATATAAAAAACATGTTTAGAATGGCGTAAAACAAAATAATTTGATAGCTAACCTGAATGCAAATCTTATATGTCAATTGATAAAATATTGACTGGAAGTTTGCAAAGAGAATATTCCCGGTGAGCTGTGATCCAAATTTTTCATTACGTGACAAACTGTTTAGTAGAAATGAAGTAAGCTTGGCCTTGTTGTTAGAATCTCGCAAATTTTTTTAACATTATTTATATCTTGTTTGTTCTCTTTGTCTCTCATATATATATATATATATATATATATATATATATATATATATATATATATATATATATATATATATTAGCTAATAAATTTATTTTTTCCCGTGGACTTTATTAAAGCGATTCTGAAATGTCACTTTATAATCTTTTTCACTACACGGACTAACATTACACATTAATACTATATAAAGAATGTTTAATAATAGTATTACTTGAAAAATACAGCTGAAAAAAATATTAAAGATACATTAAATATAAGAAAATAAGTACCCTAAATTTTAAATTAAAAAAAAACAAATTAAATTTAGAACACTATTTAAGAAATTGAAACTAACGCAAATCTAAACACAGTTTTAAAAGTTTTTAAAATTCTGCCGAATCATCGTACTAAAATCCCAAAATATTCATTTTTTTCAATTACGAAGGAACACAAATTTTTGGCGTTATTTGTATTTACAAAATAACTTAAATATATAAACAAACATAGTTGAACTCAAAATCTGTCGCTCCAATATTTTACTACCCTCCAACACAATTAACTGATAATTAAAATATAATGATCGTTCAAGATAAAAATGTATTGTATTCAGAGCATTCAAGAATATAGTAAATATGGAAGTACTCATGATTGCAAAGAAAATAATGACATTAAAAATTTCAAAAAAATAAAATTAAAAAAAGACTAGTCAAAAAGATTACATTTAGAATATACATAAAATACAAGAGCGCTTTAAAAAATTGCGTAACAAATCGCCAGCCGAGAACCAAAAGGCCGTATGTCCATTTTTTACTTCTGTTTATTATCAATAAATATTCAACAATCATAGATTTATTGGACACGTACCCCAACGTGTCCAATAAATCAAGTTAGAAGAATGATACAACTTTTAAAATATTTAAAAAAATTAGTCGGACAATCTGGCAGAATGTCTTTACAAATTAAATTTTAAAACGAACTAAATTTTCTCAGAAACACAAAAAATAAACATACGCCCATTGGTTCTCTACTGACAAAATATTGAAATCAAAAAAATTTTGTGACTTAAACAGTTTAGTATTTTAATTAAATTTAACTTTTTATAATAAATAAATTTATATCATATTTTAGCTTTAGTTTTTTGAATATTTTAATATTAAAATTTTTTGTATATTTTAAATTTTAAAACATATTTAAGAAAAGTCGAGCTAAATAATGAATTATAATGAACAAAACAATTTAAATTAACCATTTAAGAAATCATTTTATTTACTTATTGATGTTAAAAATTTTTTTTTTCTAATTTTAGACATTTATCAAATATTAAAAATATTAGAACAAAATAAAAAATACTTTTCTTAAATTTTTCTAAAAATTTAATTTGCAAAACATGTTTAAAAATGTCTAATCAAATAACTCATATTTTGATAAGTTGAGAAATTAAATTTTGAAATAAACAACAGACCACTCACAATGTAATAACTGTTAATATACGCTCGTACAAAAGTATTTCACATGGGTGTTGACTTTATAAGTTCTCTTATTGCTAATAGTTTACCTTTTGTTTTAACATAATGAAAAACACAGTTTGAAGTGTAAAAAAAACGCTAGTTTGATTAAACGTTTAAAAAAAAAAATTATAATTACTTTTTAAAAAAATTCATCGTAAAGTAAAATAGAATTACAAAAGTACACTTTGTGATATATGTATATACTTATGTATAAAAGAATTCCTTTATAAAATTTTATAAATTTTTCACTTGGTTAACATAAACTAATTGACAGATATTGTAGAAAACTCCAACCACTATAACAGCTAAACCTAACACTATTATAAAAATATCAGTTACAACTTGATACCAGCACAAATTCTTTTTTCGCAATTTTAAATGCAATACACATGGTATAATCATTGATGTCAAAACAATAACAGAACTTCCGATAAAACCCATCAAGTGTGCAAAATAAGGAAGAAATGCTGCAATAGTAACAGAAAGCATTATTATAAACATCCTCAATAAAATGCTTACTGCAACTTCATATTTAGAATTACCAAAATGACAGCACCGTAGCATATGATGAGCAGCTACTTCAAGTTTCTCCATAACAACTATTGTAGGCAAAGAAAAATGACATAATATTGAAATACCAATAAATATTGCAGTGGCTACACCAAGACCGAAATGGGATTGCAAATCTATAGTTATAACCTGACGAGTGTTGACCCCATAAAGTAAAACATTTGTTACACTGAAAAAGCTCTGTATAACCAAAGCTATAACAAAAGTGATATTTACAGCAATACCAAAGTTTTGTGGTTTTCTCATTTGTCCTTCAAGACCCGGCATCACACCATGGATTCCAAAAGCATAAACAATAATTCCGATAGCAAGTGGTAAATTAACAATATTGCATATAGGTAGATTAGCAACATTCCATTTTGAAACATTTACCAAACAAAACAGCACCACTATAACTAGACCAATACTCAAAGAAATAACACTGAGAGTTTGTAACCAACCAACTAAAACCAATTTACGTATAAAAAATGAAGGTAATACTAGACCGCCAGCAATAACTGTACAAAGTTTTATATTTATAGTCTGAAATATTTCATGTGACAATTGACCAAGAACACATATGTTTAAAACACACTTAGCAAGCATTTCAATAGTTTGTATTATCTGCATTATTAGTGAACCACAAGGAGAGTTTAATGTATCTTCAACAATATCAGCATAATTCATTCGCACTCTAATTCTATAACCATTCATTTCAATTGATTCTTCGTACATCATATCTATTAAAATGTGACTTGTATAGTTCATGATAAGAGCAATTATTAGAATAAAAGGAAGAACTATTAACCCAGCTTGCTGCAAAGCATATGGAAAAGCAAGTAAACTCGTGCCAACAATAAGATTTATTAAATTCCAAGCAACAAGTCTTCCCGAGGCTAATCCAACATTTTTAGCTGAATTATAACACAATGGGTAGGTGTGCTCACTCATACATTTATCTTGACCGCTGTTAACAAATGATCCACTGGCTAAAAAACATCAAACTAAAATTTTAATGTTTTTAAACAATTTAAAATATTAGCACTCCAAACCAGCAATTCAAACATTCTTTTAACTTTACAGTTGTTGATTCAAAACCAATAAGCTATAAACAAAACAGTTTTTATGTGATTATGTACAACATGATTGTAACATTTTTTAAGCTTACCATTTAAATAAAATTCAATTTATTGACATAAACAACCCCCAATAATGATATTACAAAATAACAAATTGATTTATTTTTGGTCTTTTTAATTAGTTTATGTGTTTTTGGTAAAAAGTAATTGTTTGTACTATTAACGTAGTAAAAAGTAATCGTTTGTACAAAGTTAAAAGTACAAACAATTGTTGTTATGATATCAAAACTTGATACTTGTTTAAAAAGTTAAAATGGTTAACTTAAAAATACTTCTATACATCAGTTAGATATAAGTTAAACACACTTTCTAAAAATAAATATATATTTAAAACATATTTTTATTTAAATGCTGTTTGAAACACAAAAAATAACATACAGATTTGAAAAAAATGTTGACATATAAGAATTTGTATGTGATTTTTTGAAAACTTTCATATCAAAAATGATACCTGTACTGTCCTTATAATCACACAACTGGTTTGAAGTTTCCTGATCACCAGAATGATAATATTTTTCACAATCTTGAGACTCAGTGTCACTTGAGCATATTGAAAGTTCACTTGCATATTCATCTGTGTACCATAGTGGTCTGGAATAAGTAAACATAAATACACAAATAAAGTGTTTTAATCCAGACAATTGTTTTAAAAAAAAAGAGTAATTATAAAAATCTAATTTTTTTTAGCGTAGTAGGTCTCTTGATGCACAGATACTCTGCAGAGCTAAGAAAAAAAGGAATATCTCAAATTTTGGTCAAAATTGAGATGTTGTTATCTGGGAGTTAACAATGTGGTTTTGTATTATTTTTTGCATTAAAAAAGCAGTATATCTTATATTTAACATTATAAATGAGCATTTGAAATTAAGAAAATAAAGAGTAAGTTTATAATTTTTGTGAAACTAAAAGCAAAAATACAGCAAATCCCAATAAGTTGCAAATAAGCAGTAAGTGACGTGTTATTTCTTTTATTTTCAAAATATTTTAATGCTTATTTTCAAAATAGATCAGTAAGGTGTTAAGTCGATTTGCTAAAGTTTTGCTTAAATGGAGATTTAAGCAAAACTTTAGCAAATCGATTTTTTTTTGCTTAGCAAGGTAATACTGTATGCCTCAACTCATCAGTTGATGTAGCTTCAAGGTATCTCTGCTTTAATTATGATGCCATCAGTGACACTAGACAATCTGATGAGAAAACCTGACTGTAGAAAAATTATCAGGATTTACTGAAATCATTTAAAAGAAGGCAGAAGTTAATTGTCATAAAAGCAGAAATAGGGAAGGTGGGGTAATACTGATCTAAGGGGTAATGTGGGTCTCAACATTTATCAATTTTTCAGAAGAAAGGCTCAAGGTAGAAACTTTTTTTTTCCTGTATGTTATATGTGCTTAAAACAGCTCTCTAAACTTTAGTTATCAGCTAACAAGCAAATTCTTAAGTTTATTTTTTATTCAAAATGGTACATACATTTAAGGAGAGATTTTTATTGAAAACCTTAAGGTAAGAAAAATGGGGTCATACTCATAGAAAACATTTTATCTGAAAGAAAAATTACCAAATAACTAGGTTCAACTAGTTTTAAGATGGAATGATGCATAGTTTTTGTTGAAATAAGCAATATTGTTGGGTGGGGAAATGTGGGTCTATATGTGTTTTGTGCATTAAAGAATGCTTATACAACAATAAATACATTTTAAATGAAAATTAGAATAAATTAGTCTGACTATGTTTCTGGATTTATTTTCATGGAGACATGTTGCTATGGATTCATTTAGATGTTCATTAAGGGTGTAATGATATTACGTTTTTGATTGAAACTAGTAAATAACGCAGCAGTTTTGAAGGGTTGCACATTGAATTTTTATTATACAATAACGTTTTTGTAGGATAATGAATCTCTAATATACTGCACTAAAATTTTTTGGATATTTTCCAATTAAGCTTTCGCTTTAAATTCTTCCTTAAACATAATTTCTTCATGTTTTGATTTTTTATAAGTATTTCAAATTTGGAGAATTATAATATGATTTATTATATATATTTAGAAAAATTGTAAAAAAAACTATGGAAATTGAACTACAAGAAAGCTATTCCTTGGAAAACTGCTAACAAAGATGTTTATTTTACATTTCTAATTTAGTGCTTTGAACAAGTAAAGTTCTTTTTCATTTAAAACATCTATTGAAGCACTATTCTGTTTAAACTTTTGATCAAATTACTTAAATGTAATACATACTCAATGACCTCAGTCATATTTTTCTATAACTTGGTATATTTTAGGGTTGTTCACTTTGTAAGAGTTGAGTTTTCGATTAAAAAAAAAAACATTTCCAAGCTCTATTTTTATTTCGGTAAGTTTGAAATGATTTTTAATTGTTAAATTTTGAACTAAAATAAATTTCACTTTTCGAAATTAACAAAATTTTTTTGATGAATTTTTTAATCGTCAAAAACCAAATAATAGCTCAGAAACTATTTTTTGCTTTCAAAATTTTAAAAATTGTTTAGAAATATATTTACACTATTGAAAATTTACCGTAACAGTTTTTTACTTTCGAATCTCTATAATTTGTATCGAAATATTTTTATATTTTCGAAATTCTAAAAATGGCACCGAAGCAACATTTTACATTCGAATCTCAATAATTTGCATCCAAATATTTTTATATTATTGAAATCATAAAAATGGTATCGAAACAATTTTTTACTTAAGGCCGGCCTGAAGTGTGTGTGAAAGGATGGGAGGCAGTCCAAGAATTTTTTGTTCATATATTTCGCAAATTTTACCCTTTGAGACAAGTCAATCGGCAAATGATGCCCTTTAGACAAGGCAGTTAGCAAACTTAGACAGTCAGAGGTAGGGGGGAGGGGGTATGAAATTTGTCAAGAGACAGTTGGCAAATTTTAAAAAACAAGAATTTTTTAGTCAGAAAAAATTGTAATGGCACCCCTACCCCCAACGTAACACTGCGCCGACCCTGTATATATATATGTGTGTTTGTGTGTGTATGTTTATATATACATATATATATATATATATATATATATATATATATATATATATATATATATATATATATAAGATAGTTGATGTAGCAACACTCCGCGCATGTTTTAAAAATATATTTTAATAAAACAAAAACAAAAACACCATTAATTAAAAACAACTTTCTAGTTATTATTATTGCAATTAGATTTTATCGTTTTTTTGAAAAACAATAAAATCTAATGAACATCCGCATTAATTCAAATGCTTTGACATTTTGACGACAATAAAATGTAGCTTAATTGGCAAGGTAGCAAAATTTTTGTCAAAAGAGACTTTTTTTACATTGAAAGTTTTTTTCAACAACGAGACAAAGATATATATATATATATATATATATATATATATATATATATATATATATATATATATATATATATATATATATATATATATATATATATATATATATATATATATATATATATATATATATATATATATATATATTAGTGATGTACCAATTAATCGGCATCGGCTTAATCGGCCACTTTTTGTACATTCGTAATCGGCATCAGCATCTGCCTCTTGTACCGATTTTCCAATCGATGACATTTTAATATTTTTATTGTGCATTATTATAATAATTAAACAATAAATTAACTGAACTTTATGCATCACTTAGAATTTTTTTAATAAATTTTTATTTTGACTTTGTTTTCAGCCAAAAGCTTTAAAAGTAACCTATTTAAGCATTGTTATCTATACTTTAAAAATTTTTTTTTACTCCCAACAAAGCTGCAAGCAACCACTATCAAATTGGGAGTTGCTAGAAAAAAAGAGTAGAGTTATAGAGCAAGGAAGTGGTTGACAGAAGACTTAAAAAGTTGAAAGTTGTATGAGTCAGAAAAACATGAAGATGGGATAGAGTTCAGAAGGGTTGAAGTGCTGGGAAATAAGCTAGACAAATAAAAGTTTTTGGAGCATAAAAAGACAGATACACTAAAAGGATGAGACTTTGATGAACGATGAGTCAGGTGAGAATGAGTTTTGGTTGATGGAACTAGAGATGAAAGATCCTTTGAGCAGCAACCATTATAGTATTTTTATAAAAGAGAAAGAGATACAACTTTACAACGATGGGAAAGAGGATCATGTTTAGCAGATAGACCGGGTCCAAAAAAAAAAGTGAAATCAGTACATCACTAATATATTTACATATATATACATATATATATATACAGTGCTCGAAGTGAGGCGGGATACCATCCCATCACCTTTTTATAAAGTATACACCATCCCGCCACCTTTTTATAAATCTCTCTATATAACAATGATTAGGCGGGATGGTATTTTTAATTTTAAAATAATTCTGCTGTTTATCAAAAATTATAATTCTGCTGTTCCTATCATAAGTTTTTATATATACAGTGGCGTAGGAGGTCGCGAAAGTTGGTGGGAGCTGAAAACATATGCTAAAAAGGAAAAACTAATCAATTTTGTATGACACAGCAAATGGATAATAATGGTCTATTTATTCAATTATATATTTCATTCAAAAAAGATAATGTAATGTAACTTAAACCCCACTAAACGGGGTAATATAAGTCTATAGAATACAACTCAAATTGGTGCTCCTATGACAGCTTTAAAAATCATGTATAAACATTTTTTGATGTAGTTTACTAAAAATGATGTCTAATCATTAAGGAAGCGTGTGCGGTCACACACCTTGTTCATCCACCTTTAAAGTAATTTTTTTAGAAACAATGACCATGGCAGTTTGCATTTTTTAACTTTTAAAGCGTTTCAATAATTCAAAAAGCTAAACTTATCTACTGAAAAAAAAAATAATAATAATAATACTAAGAAAATGAAACGAAATTTCAAATTTTAAATAAACTAGAAAAGTTTAATAATTAAAAAAAGAAAATTAAAAAAAAAATTTTAATAAATTTTTTATTCATCTTTTGTATTCTTTTTTTTTTAAGGTTTGTTGTTATTTTTAGCTAACGCATTTGATACAAGTCAAGGAAAAAAAACATATTTTATAACAACTTTATAATTTTATAACAACAATTAAAAGTTTTGATAAGCAGTTTATTTACAATTTTTAAGAAACTAAATTGCTATGGTATGTTAGAACTATGAGAAACGTTAATTTTTTTTCTTACTTTTACTCGTTTTCACATCATTTAGCTTTTAAAAATGTTTTTGCTTTATTTGACATTTTTTCTCAATACTTATATATATTAGAATAATCAGAAAATAATTTGTTATTTATTCGTAAAATATATTACTTGATTAATAAAATTTGTTACGACTGAAAAAATTAAATAAAAAAATGCCATGGTTTCTTTTATAAATGTATTTACAATATTTGATGCCTGTCTGAAAATGTTTCCTTTATGTTGCATGTTAAGAGGAATTACTAGAGATAATGAACATAACAATTGCTCTGCTTGAAAAAATGTATTTAAAAGCTTCAAAAAATGTTTTAAATAGGCTCCTAAAAATTTCATTAAAAAAATTCAGTAAATTAACAACCTACTAGCCCACAAGCTTTTGGAGCGTCCATAACAAAAGTTCATCAGGAAATAAACT